CAGAATTCCCCAGCCAGCGAATGCTGGCTGGGGAATTCTGGGAGTTGAAGTCCAGACATCTTCAAGTTGCCAAGGTTGAGAAACACTGTCATAGAGGATATTTTCTTATTATCATTTCAATTTATATGCTGCCCAATCCCCAACAATTCTAGGCAATTGCAATAAAAATGTTTTAAAACATTTTGTTTGTTTGTTTTAAAGGCAAACAAAACAACTGTACAGAGTAAAAATGGCAAGGATGACAAAAGAAAGATGGGAACAATTTAAAAACAAATCCACACAATGCAAAAGGGCGGTTTCACTCACTCACCAGTCAGATTACTCTCTGACTACCATGGACTTTTACAGCATGACCCCACTTTCTCCACAGTGGGGGAAAGATGGGTCAGAGGGAATTTGGGGAATCTCCCAAGAGTCGGGTATGCATTGATTATGGTCACTCATTGGAATAATGGGTCATGTAGGGGGCTGGACTAGATTGCACTGGGGCAACCTCTCTCTTCCCGGAGATCCACTGCAGTTTTTTGGTTTACTGAGGAGATGAGAGACATGGGGTGGTTGAGAAGATATCTGAACACAGCTGGGAGGCCCACCTCAGGTTTGATAGGACATTGATACAAGCTGTTTAAACCATACCCAAAATATGTTGCCATCCTAGTACTTTCCAGTAGTCCTTATAATGCCCCTTTCTCAACAATGTTTGACAAGACTGGCATCTGAAGGGTTGCTGTCAAGAATTAGCATTAAAACTGCTTAGATTTAAACTGCTAGACTTCACCTGGACTAACACAATGAAACTTTGTGAGATGCAGGGCACCACGGTCCCTGGGGATGCCAGCCCCCACTGTACTCGCCACCTCCTGTGCAGGGCACCTCCAGGGCAGCCCCGTGGGTCTAAGGCTGGCCGCGTTCCAGCCCAGGTGGCTTCCATCAGGTTGTAGATCGGTGTCTGGTCAGCCTGGGCTGGGCCAAGGTGCCACAGGCTTGTCCTTCACTGCTTCCAGGGCAGCCTCGCAGGCCAGATCTAACTACCTTGCATGCCTTGAGTTTGATACCCCTGCACTACAACTTAAAAGATTTCTTTCAGTCAAAGCAAGATAATGCTTAACATCTGTTGTAGTTTTCTGGAATGTTCCTTTCTTGTAATGGATAATTACCACTGTCAGTGTGTTGAAGCCAGCTCTTCCCAGTAGATGTCCTAGATCATTCACAGCTGTAAAAGGGGATACATGTGGGGAAAATCCACCTTCTCTTTCTAGTTCTGCTAGTTGCAAAGAGCAGCGAAGCTCAAAGAGTGTGTCTCCCCCAAACATAGAACCAATAAATACTCCATCAGGTTTAAGGACTCGGTGTACCTAAAATAAATCATAATTAAACCAGGCATTAATAAAGATCTAATATATCCCTAGCTACGTTTTGATGCTAAGGTCTTAATTCAGAGTAAACTGAAAGTCACTATACAATACTTGGACTTATTTCATTCTTAAATTCCACAAAATCTCACTGGATATGTAACACAATAAATATTTAACTAATGCATTTGTGGAAATTAGTAGAATTGGAAGGGGCTGCCTAGTTTGGTGTAAGGATCCAAATTAACATATCTCAATTGTTATGAAAAGTATTATATGGGATAAGTTCAGCAATTTCCCCCAAACATCTGGATCAATATACTAAGTGAGCAATCCTTTTGGTTCTGAAAATTACATGTAGAAACAGCTACAAGTCAGAGCTATACATCAATAATACACACACATGTAAAGGTAAAGGTTCCCCTCGCATGTATGCGCTAGTCGTTCCGTATTCTAGGGGGCGGTGCTCATCTCTGTTCATACGCCGAAGAGCCTGTGCTGTCCGAGACATCTTTAGTCATGCAAAAGAGCCTGGCATAACTAAACGTCGAAGGCACAGAGAATGCTGTTACCTTCCCATCAAAGGTGGTTCCTTTTTTTCTACTTGCATTTTTTACGTGCTTTCGAACTGCTAGGTTGGCAGTTATGCAGTGCTAGGGATTCGAACCGCCGAACTCCCGACCTTTCTGATTGACAAGCTCAGCGTCTTAGCCACCGCGTCCCCTTACACACACATATATATGCATGCAAAAAGGGGCGTTCCCCAAAACACAGCAGACTCCCTTTCGAATGAGGAAGAATAAATATCTGGGTGCGACTCCTGGCAAAAGACTTTAACTTGATGTCACTTCAGCCAAGATTTTCTAGTAGCAATCATAACAGCAATAGCACACAGCTCCACAATGCTTTACAGCACTCTCTGAGAGGTTTGCGATATCACCATATTGCCCCCAACAATCAGAGTCCTCATTTTACTCTGGAAGGCTGGAAAGCTGAGTCAACCATGAGCTGGTCAGGATCAAACTCTTGGCAGTAGGCAGAGTCAGGCTGCAATACTGTATTCTAACCACTGTGCCACCAAACCTTCAATGTTATTATCCACAGGGAAAAAGCACAGACCTTGAGACAGGATGGGAGAGTAAGAAAGGAGTAAAAAAAAATTGCACTTCTGTTGCTGCTGCTGCTGCTGCTTCTAATAGCTGTCAGAAGAGCAATCTTTTCTTTCCCATCTGGTAATCCATTAGTAGCAAAGAAAAAAATGTGGGCCATCTGGGTTGTATAGAGTGACCATGGTTACATGTGGGTTATGGATTACCGAATTCTGCTCTGGACTGAACTTTATCCAATTTGCTGTATTAACTGTGAGCAGGTGAGCACATTACAGGTAGACTTTGCAGGTAGTCCTTGAGTTATGACTGTTTGTTTGTTTGAAATGATGACAATCTTGAAAAAGTGTCATACAAGCTGTCTTTGAAGTTACAACTGTCATATTACCCCTGTGGTCATGTGATTGCAATTTGGATGCTTGACAACCCGCTTGCATTTATGATGATTGTAGTGTCTTGTGGTCATCTAACCACAATTTGCAACCTTTCCAGCCGGATCCAACAAGCAAACTCAATTAGGGAAGCAGGATTTGCTTAATAACTACTTGATTCACTTAGCAACCATGTGATTCAATTAACAACTGCAGTGTTGTGCTTAACAACCATGGTAAAAATGGTTGTAAATCAGATTCGAACATGGTCCCAATTGTATTCATACATTAAGGACAACATTTGCAGAAGGTATGACTTGTATCAAAATATTATAGGTCAATATCTCTTTCAACCTGATTTCTGTTAAAAATAAGCTCAAGGAGGCTATTTTACTCCACCCCTTTCCTTCTTTGCCAACTCACATTCAATATATCATAGCTTTAAGGTAAAGGTAAAGATTCCCCTCTCACATATGTACTAATCATTCCTGACTCTAGGGGGTGGTGCTCATCTGTTTCAAAGCTGAAGAGCCAGCGCCGAAGACGTCTCCGTGGTCATGTGGCCAGCGTGACTAAATGCCAAAGGCACATGGAACGCTGCTACCTTCCCACCAATGGTGGTTCCTATTTTTCTACTTGCATTTTTTACGTGCTTTCAAACTGCTAGTTTGGCAGAAGCTGGAACAAGTAACCGGAGCTCACTCTGTTACGCAGCGCTAGGGATTCGAACCGCCAAACTGTCAACCTTTCTGATTGACAAGGTTAGGCACTGAGCTGATTGAAAAGTC